TTCTAAGGCTTTATTTGTCTATTTAATGCTTTATGAATGAGTCGATGCATTTTCATTACTAGGCTTTACGAGCTTTTTTTTGAAAATCAGGGATTTTTCGGATAGTTTGTTGAAAATTTCTTCTCGTGAACAGCCAAAGAAAGGTAACTTTTGGAACTTCCGTGTCCAAATACGACTCGAACGATTTTGCTCAAAATGTGCATACACATAGTAGATTTAGTCCTGCATAAAATGTAAATAAAAGAACGAAAATTATACGACAGAAATTTTTGGTGTGAAGTGTTGTACATCCTGAAGTGATGTACAAAGATTATCGAGTTGAATCAGAGGGTAGGGTGGGACAAAATTAGACTTCAGAGTATTCTTGAGATATGGTCCCGTTGAATGGCAAGATGGGTTTGGAAAATTAACATCCAACAAGCTTTAAAACCTTTCATATAAAGACAGTCTATGCATATCTCATATCTGCAATTTGAAACCGAAACTTATGCATCTCTCATGGCCATAGGAACCGATCTATAGATTACTATAGTAAACATATATACTATATGCTTGTGCCCCCTCAGTAAAAACGTCTGATGATCTTCTTTTTTTTTTTTTTTTGCTTGTTAAGGAATTTTGGTAGTGAATGCCCCCCTTTTTTTTGCTTGTCAGGAAATTTTTAGTAGTACCCCCTCAACTGTCAACTGAAAAATGTTTGGCTGTGCCCCCCCCCCCCCAACTGAAATTGCTTCCTACGGGCCTGCCTCTAAAGGCAAAAAAGGAAAACTTAGTTTGTTTACTTATGTCAATTAGTACAAAAAAATTCAAGAACTTTTGCTACTTGGTGTAGGGTGAAAGGCACTCAATAAATGGTAATTGACACATTGAAAAATACGGTAAGTACATTAATCAGTGTGCAGCTAATTTCAGATGGTTTTAAAAAACACACATTGAACAGTTAAGTGTTAGCTATTATCTATTAACTGGTTTTTTTTTTTTTGGGGGGGGGGGGGGGAGGTTCCACGGCACAGTTCTCTTTTAGTTTTCTTATTTTAATTTAGATTTATTGATTTTCCAATCTTATTTTAATATTTCATTTATTTATTATATTGGTTCTGACTTCTTGTTTTTCCAATTCAATTTTTAATTTCATTTTTACAGACTTTCTAATCTTGATTCTTTTAGAATAAACTTTTATAATTTTATTTCAATACATACACCTTCTTTTATTTCAGTAAAAAAAATGAGTAAAAATACGAATGTTTGATTTAGAAAGTAAGAGTAAGTAAGTTAATAAAATGTTAAAATAAGAAAGTAAGAATGAGTAATCTGGATGAAATTTTCTAAGCAAATTAGGACGAATGGGGGCGCTGCAACCTCTTATGCACATGTTGAATATACATTGAGGTCTTGTACAACCTATACCGTACCGTAAAAAAGGCCCGTAAGAAGCAATATCAGTTTGATCGGGGGCACAACCATACATTTTCAGTTGAGGTGTGTCTGTGTGGGGGGAGGGGGGGCAGTATCAACTATCAAAAATTTCTTGACTAGCAAAAAGAAAACGGTCTTCAGAGACTATTATTCAGGGGGCACAAGCATATAGTAGCTATATTTTCTATAGTTTTTTATATATCAGCAAAAACAATATTTCCTTGGAACATTGTAGGAGTCGGCCATTTGATTCTGAAAAAGGGGCTGGCAAATTTTTTAGTGTCAGATTATTTATTTTTATGTCGGTATAGGAAAGATTATTTATTTCAAAGATGATCTCGGACTGATTTAATTTTCCTGTTCATGTTCAGTAAGATTGACAAGCAAAAAAATCTATTTCATTTGGGGGGGGGGGGCAAACTTTATATGGGGGGGGGGGGGGAAGGGGGCATTCAACAAAGTCCATTTATTTGTTTTCTATTTTTCTTTTTATTTGTTTCCCAGTGGGAGAACTATTATTTATTTCTAGAATCTCCTAGCCCCAACCACTCAAAATCAAATGGACGTTCCCATACTTACCATAATATTCTTGTGTGTCTTCGTTTAATTCTATTAGAAAATTAATGTGAATCACTATTCTTTGTTAGTGCCCGCTTATGGTACACGAATGCCACGTATCTTTAATATATCGTTATCAAGTACGATTGAAAAAAAAATCTTCAGCTTGATAACAAATCTACTGAACGGCTGATGGAAGGGGAGGGAGAGTTTAGTGTCACCTTCTTTTTTACACAAGGCTTATCTTCTGAAGAACATCACATTCACATATTGCATACCATTTCCTCCTCTGTAAAAATATCATTTTTCTATGTTAAAAAAATGTTTATATAAAGACCACGTCTCCAACTTTTCGTATACAAATATTCCTTCTCCCTTTTCTTCGTCATTTGCATTATGTGTGGAAATTGGAGGAGGGGTCATGTGTATACGGTATACATGTACAACGCTTTTAACTTGCCACCAGGCCCATAACTACAGTTTAACAAGCCTTAAAAAGCTTTCGGCTCAAACTCGAAAACCTTTTGGGGGGTGTAGGATTTTTCTCTAACTTTTCGACATTTTCTTAAATTAATGCATTAAAGTTGGACACACTTCAACCATGCTGCAACAAAGTTGGGGGGGGGGGGGGGGCAAGCGGCCTTTGATAGAAAATTTTCACATTAAAATCAAATCGGTGCACCCTTTCCCCTAGCCTCTTACTACAGGCCTACATCGACACTTAATTGTTTTTCTTTTATTGTTTCAGATAACTTCACTGATCCTGAGGTAGGGGAGGCCTGGAAGATTTTGTAAATAAATAATCTGTCCTTGAAAATGTTGAAAGTAAATAATTTGTCCTCCACTTAGAAGAAAATAAGTAATCTGACCTTGACCGTACCTAATACCCTTACGTAACTAATTTTTCAAGTTTGGGTATCCCCCCTTAGTCTTTAAGGTTGGGTTCCCCTCCCTATACACATACATACAGACACACAAAATTAAAACAAGAATATCAAAAGAAAAGTGTGGCATTTTAAACCTTCCCAAAACACCATTTAAGTCATCATGTGTTTTGTTGAAACCATGTAAAATTAGCTACATACCAAGTAATGTACTTGGCGTACCTTATGTAATGTGATGCTTACCATTTATTTTCTATTTTATAATTTTATTTATTTTATTTTATATTCCTATAACAAGTAGTAAACCGACTCTGTGGTATATTGAACATACCATTTATTTTGTATTTTTCACCCTATAACAAGTAGCGGTAACTATTTAACATAGTAAACCGACCCTTTAATATAATGAACGCACCATTCATTTTGCATTTTTCACCCTAAAACAAATAGCGGTAACTATTTAACATAGTAAACCGACCCTTTGTTATATTGGACACATCATTTATTTTGTATTTCTCGCCCTAAAACATGTAGCGGTGACCATTTAACATAATAAACAGAGTCTTTATAATATTAATTATGTACGTTTAACCCTTTAATAACAAGAAGCAGTGACCATTTAACATATTAAACCGATCCTTTATTGTACTGAACACCATGTATTATGTACCTTTCACCGTATAACAGTGAACCTACCCTTTATTATATAGAACGCACAATATATTATGTGCCTTTCACCCTTTAACAAGGAGCGGTGACCATTTAACATACTGAACCGACCCTTTATTATAGAGAACGCACCATGTTTTATGTGCCTTTCACCCTTTAACAAGGAGTGTTGACCATTTAATATATTGAATCAACCCTTTATTATACAGAACACACCGTGTAATATGATGTACCATACCTTAAGACAGCTATGGCGTTCCATAGACAATGAACAGTACTCAAGCTCAAAGTACATAAAAACAGTACAAATCGGGAGCAGAGAAAACACGGACCTCCAAAAACATCAGAGTTTGGATCAGGTGCCATGGAGATGTGAGCATCCCCTGCCAACCAGTCCCCCAGTCGTGTGCTCCTTGTCCTGATCGGGAAAAATCCGTAGACAATTCAGTGTGTAAATAATGGCCTAATAATTAGCATGAAAAACGTCAGTCAGCATTTGACTTAATTAAAACTTGCATTTGCTGACAAGATCATTGTATCGAACATAAAATTTGCGAAATGATGACTTCAAACGAGACTGTTGATATCCTTGTTTTATCAACTTGTTTGGCAATAGCTTGCCTCGTTTTAGATATTGTTCATACGTAGAGCATGTTCTTGTGTATCGAATCAACTGGGAGACAAATGCCCCATATGCAGGTGATAAGGGTATTTTGCTACATGAGTAAGGGAACTTGACGATTGAAAAATTGAAGTCATCACGTTTATCATAAAGCTTTGTTTTTAAGTGTACTTTAAAGTCTTTCTAGAAAAATATCCAAAAATAACAAAAACAGAAGTGTCTGACTCTTTGGTATCTTTCATTTCAAGCTCACTGGGATATATCGAGTCGACATAAGACGGAAGTAACCATTGTTAATTGATAATACGTCGTCATATCTAGCTGTTGAGTTGAAGGCCACAGTAAGTGTTTTCTTCTTCTCATGCTTTTGAATAAGTTCTGCTTCATATGAATACAAAAATAAGTCTGCTAATAAGGGGACGCAATTGGTACCCATGGGAATTCCAACAGATTGTTGGAAGACCTGATTTGCAATGCAAAAGCCACATAGATATTGTCAATCAAAAGCTCAAGGAAAAATTCTCGAGAGGGACGTTAAACAACATACAAACAAACAAACAAAAGCTCAAGCATCTTTTTAATATCGATATTAGTGTATAATCAGAATGTTTTTAACAAAATAATTTTGCAAATGATCAATGACAAGGTAAGCTGTCTATGATGTCAAAAAGCCAGGCTTGAGTTTTACTAAACTTCTTAAGTTAAGATGTGATCGTAACCGTAAGTTACGATGAATTTCCGTCTTACTAAACTTCTTAAGTTACGTCAAATAAAATCATTGTAACTTACGAGAGGTAATGGGGTCTCCTAAGTTAAGAAATTATCGTAAATTGCATAATTTCTAAATAAACATGGTTGCCCTGATAGTATTTTGTGGCATTCTAAATGAAGAAAATGACAAACAGGCTCGTCGGGCGAAGGTTTTCCGAGACAGAACACAGGTCCTCGATACGATGACCGATGTGGAACTTATCGAGCGGTATAGATTCCCGCGGGTTGTCGCACTAGGCCTTGTAAACGATCTCAAGAATCTTATTCAGCCTAAAACTAACAGATCACACTTAATGCCCGCACACATTCAGGTAAGATAGCTAAGTTGACTGATAAAATATATAGCAGAGGAAATTCTAATGAAGCAACTAAAACATTAAGATAAAAATATTTCTCTTACACATAAAGAATTACCAGTACACAAATTTCTAAAGGTGTAAGGCACGACTGGTTTGATTGAAGTACACAATTACAATTTTATGAAGGAAATTGTCCGACATGAATCCTTTTCCCAATTTCCTTCCACGTGCAAGTGTCCAAAAGATCGTTGAAAGGGGAAACAACTGTTTTGGTACCAAAATGAATTGCTTCCCTTGAAAGTAGTGTGTGTGCATGTGTGTGTTGTTTTTTTTTTGGGGGGGGGGGATGGGGTTTATATCTAAGGTAACCGATTTAAAGATTTTTTTTAAAAAGTCTGTTATAATAATAAAATATATAATAATAATTTATTTTAAACCATCTCATTTAACCAGGCTTAAATATATGTATATATATAGAGAGAGAGAGAGAGATTTGAGGCAAGCAATGTCTAAACGAAAATTTTAAATAGGCTATATTTTTTCTTTTCATGTAACATAAAATTAAAATTATTTAGACTCATGTAATAATTTTGACCCAATTGAAATAGTGTGTCAATGCTTTGAATTACCTGACTTTATTATAATATATTGCATGTTGATTTTTAGTATTGTCATGTTAAAAAAAATAACTTGGGCAAATGAAAAGAGAATAACGCTGGGTGCATTTGATAAACATGTACATAGTTTTGTAGCCAGACGAAACGTACATAACCTCATTTGGCCTGCCTTCTCTCCCTGTTTTGGAATTACAAATAACTTGTTCTCACTCGAGCATTAGTACTGTTTTTAATATTTACCTTTAATTAATCTCTATCTTTTCCTGTTGTTAAGATTTTTTTCGATTTGACTACCCCCCCCCCCTTCCCTGACACACAAACATATCGGGTATACGTACATTCATAATGTGTACGGTGTGTTATCATTGAGTACAACTGGGGCAACAATACACTTAATTTCAGGTTCTAACGTGTCTCAGATTTCTAGTGAAAGGTGATTACCTCTCAGAAGTAGCAGACCTTCACGGCATTTCTAAAGCGTCGGCATGTATGATCATTCATAGAGTAGTAGATGCTTTATGCAACACTTTGAAGAACATAAATTTTCCTACCTCCAACGGTGAACTGAGAAAGATCAAATCCAAGTTTTACAAGATTGCAGGCTTCCCCAGTGTGGTTGGAGCAATTGATGGTACGCAGATTCCAATTCAGGGAATGAGTTTGGAAGATGAGCCGTTGTATATATGTAGAAAAGGGTACCATTCAATCAATGTGCAGGCTGTTGTTAATCCCGATTTAAGGTAAATCATTTTTAATATGCCATGATAGTAATCTTCATTAAAATTACGGCTTTATAAATGTAATGATTGATTATCATTAATAGGGTACTTAATTAAGACAGGAAAAAAGCATCGTTTTCAAAGAGATGAGGAAGTAAGAAAAATAACTAACATACCTAAAACAAATGACAAAAAAAAATTCAAATCTGAAAAAAAGTTTTAGAGTGAGAGAGAGAAGAGGGAGGGGGTAGGAGTTGCACACACGTAGGTTCCAATTTTCTCTATGCAACAAAAACATTATCGAATACATTAACGGGCATAGTGGTCATACTGCAACAAAAAAGGAGGAGTTGTCTGTCGTTGACAATTAATTTCCAACCCCCCCCCCCCCCGATACTATACGTGCCTGAAGTATGTATTGTAAGGATGAGAATAATAAGATACATAGATATTCGACGTATGGTATAAAAATATCTGAAAACAAGAGGCCTATGGGCCACATCGCTCACCTGAGTCACTTTGGGCCTACTGTTCTGCATCAGATTCTTTCCCAATATACATGTACTCCTACGTTAAAGTTTAATCGACTTTTATGGCCCCACCCCATACACTGGGGTCGTGATGTAACAAAAATCAATCTACACTATCAGAGGGTGCTACCACATTAAAATGATTCATCATAGCCTTGCTGTTGTTGAGTACAAGAGTTTTAAAGATTTTTTCCCACATCCAATCCCTATTGTGGCCTCACCCTACCCCATGGGACCATGATTTGAACAATGAACAATTTACATTACTTCAAAAAGCTTCCATTTAAGTTTCAGCTTTTTTGCACCCAGATTTTTCCTATGTATTTCAATGCTATTGGCCCACCCTACCCCCTGGGACCATGATTTGAACAATTTAGAATCTATACTATCTCAGAAATGTATTTAATACGTTTCAGCTTTTCTAACCCAGTAGTTCTCGAGAAGATTTTTTAATGACCCCACCTTTTTTTCTTAATTATCTCCCCTTTGAAGGGGGCTTGGCAATTCATTTCAATAATTTAAAATTCCCATTACTCAGAGATGCTTTGTACCAAATTAGGTTTAAATTCGCCCAGTGGTTCTTCACAAGAAGTTGAAAATGTGAAAAGTTTACAGACGGATGACACAGGTGATCAGAAAAGCTCACTCGAGGGTTGACAAGCAAAAAAAAAGGGTCATCAGACGTTATCATTGAGGGGGCACAAGCATATAGTAGCTATGTTTTCTATAGTATCGGCAAAATTATTGGAGGGGGTACGCCCCCCCCCCCGTTCCTACGGTCATGCGTATATCTTGATGGGATCTACAAGTAAAAGGTTACTTTTTTATGTTCAGGTTTACAAATGCCGTTTGCAAGTTCCCAGGGGCCACCCACGATGCTTACATTTTACAGAGCAGCTCGCTACCAAACCTTGTTTCCTGTCTTGAGGATGGAGGATGGCTTGTAGGGGATTCTGGCTACCCTCTGAAAGAGTGGCAAAATTATAAAATATATTTCATTGTTTAGTAATTGAATTCTTTGACAGTATTTTTAAGTTTTAGAAGGTAAAAATTATATATATATATATATATATATATATATATATATATATATATATATATATATATATATATATATATATATATATATATATATTGAACTTCGGTATCTTGAACACTGATATCTCGAATATTATGGATATGTCGAATTGACTTGGAAGTCCCAATCACTTATTCTTTAAGTATTTTACCTTGGATATCTCAAATACTAGGATATCACGAAGTTTTTAACCAGTCCCATCGAGTTCGAAATAATGAGGTTTGACTATATATACTTATATATATATATATATATATATATATATATATATATATATATATATATATATATATATATATATATATATATATATATATATATATAATTTCGTGCCTTAACAGGTGCTTGCACAAGACTGGAGGAGCATTGCCATATAGACCATCAAAGTGTACCAGAATTATTAAATGCGCAATGAGACTTCATAACCTTGCAATTGAAATTGAAACTGGTATTCCGTTACTGGAAGCAGTTGATCAAGAAGATGCAGATGGATTCTAGTTTGAAGATCATGATAATGCAAATAGTCATTTAACTTGGTGTTCCTTTAATACTTTTAAATTTATTTGTATATTTAATTATGTTTACTCTATGCTCCTGTAATCGGAGATTTGAAGGCATATATATTTTTTGTTCATTTATTTCTTTGTCGGCAAAATTTTAACTTGCCTATAACTTTTGAAAATTTGTTGATTTCATATTTCACATTGTGCATGTATTCCTTGTGATAAGACCTTTCTTTAGTACCAGTGTTGAATAAGCACATCTTGTTATTCCTTGATTATTACACACAGATTAAGTGATAATACAACAGTAAAGAAGTCACAAAACTTGATTGTCGCTGAAATTGGGAAAAATTTTCCAAAGCGATGGAATGTGATATGGCCTGAAATGCTACGTGACTTGAAAGCACGCAGTTTCCAAATTTAAAAAAATCATCATCATGGATAAAGACGCAACAACCTTAGCAAAGGCAAAAGTATCATTTGATCCAAACATTAAAAAAAATCGGATTTTAATCATACTAAAAAAACCCTTACAAGTAAATTATCAATCTCCCTTGCAGAGTTGTCGTTCGTTTCTCTCTCAGACACCTCTGCGATAGGCTCACGTCAAGATTTTTGACATAACATTCCAAGGATTATTCAAATTAAACAAATAGTTCTAGATATACCTAGTAAATATCTACCTTAAAAGAGAAACATTAGTGCAGACATTTAATTATAATGAATTTAAACAAACGCACTATTTCTCGTGCTTATCACTGTGATATACGCGAGTCAACGACAGAGGTGAATGTATGAGCCGATGGTAGAGAGTGGTAAATTATATGACATGAAGAAAGAGAAGAAGTATCCTTTTCTAGGTCCAAAAGCCATTCAACATTTAGAGAAAAGCTTTTCATAGGCAGTGAAATCTAACAAGGACACAATTACTTTGCAGAGAAATTTAGAATCCATTCCTTCTCATGTGTTTCATGACCATACGGCCTGTGAAAGTGAATGGTGCAAATACATGTATTTTCAGGATCCAGACAACTACACACCAGTACACTTCCCATATGGAAAGTATCTGTCTGGTTAGGAATTTGTACAAAGATTTAAATAAAGTATTTACAGATTTGGCTAAAAATGCGAGCAAACTTTCGAAACTTGGCAGCACACAAGCCAATGAAAACTTCAACAGAATTGTGGCGTGCAAGAACCCAAAGAACATATTTTATAGTGGCTCTGAAAGTACAGCATTTAGAGTAACAGCTGCTGTAGCTCATAAGAATATTGGACACATGACAATTGAAAAGGTATGACTTTTTAAAGATTGATATTTTATGACAGATTACATATCAGCGTATATAATTTGATTCCATATATATGTAGATATAGATTTCTAGGAAATACATGTACAAGTGTTTTCTGTACATTTAAATTCATTTGACTTTGTTTTTAGGTATATGATACTGCATGTTTTTAGGTATATGATACTTTGATGCTTTCACCGGGACTGCATACAAAAGTACGAGTGGTGAATAGCTTAAAGGAGGGATAAAAAGAAATCAAGAAAAAGCAGTGTTGAATACAACGTCGTCACGAACCAAATTAAATGAAATCAAGCCATGTAATTTTAATGTTTACCTATATACAGGGTTACATTTTCTATGTTTTAGCATGTACACATTAGTTTTCTATTTCGAAATATAAATTTAATGTTTTAAAGTGGCTCACATGAATTTATCAGAATTTGAAGTCCAGTTGTGTATATCATTTTTGTCAAGTTTTTTTTTTTTGTAAAATTTTATTGACAAAATAAAAGAAGGTCCCACATATGAATCTGGCGTTGGACTATCAAGTACTAATGATCTTCAAGAAGAAATACCAGACTGCATACCAGAACTAAGACCCCAAACATTACAAACAGACATAGAGTCCAGCTTTGTTTATTTTGACTTGGAAACAACTGGTTTGGTTTATGTAAATAAGAAAATTGAATAAATTTTCTGAATATTGAACTTAAAAAATTTTCAGAGAAATCTAATGGAACATGGGTTTTCAATTTCTTTTTTTTTTTTAAATGCATTAATTCTTGATCTTTGTCCTTGTACATGTATTTTTCTTGCATATTTAAAAAGTGTATTGTACTCTGAATTGATTATAACATCACAGGTGCATCAGCAGAGATAACACAACTAGCTTGTGTATTTGGAAAAGAAATAAGTATGTTCTTCATTCATCACCTATAAGTGCCAAAGCAAAAGCAGTGACTGGCCTTCATGTTGTCAGTGGACAATTATTTTATCAAAAAATAAAAGTAGACGCTGTAGATATTCAGACTTGTTTAGAAGAATTTAACATTTGGTTGAAAAAGATCACAAAACCACTTCTAGAGTGTCATAATGGAAGAGTATTTGATTCTGTTGTTTTAATGAGGTGTATTATGCAATATCCAGAAAGTGGGGTAAAGACAACAATAGCTGGATTCGGAGATAGTCTTTATCTTTTTAAAGAAGTGTTACCAGAAAGACATTCATACAAACTCCAGTCACTGGTACAAGATACCATGGGAATGATATAAATTTCCCATTCAGCACTGGAAGATGTCAAAGCCTTGCAGTCATTGGTTGTACACCATAGTGTATCCAAATCATGCTTAAGGTAGTTCTATACTCGGCACTAAATGGGCTCAATCTTGAAAAATCTGCTTTTATAAGATAGACATATACATGTATCCCAGCAATGGAAAAACATAAGAAAAATTATACGTCAAAATGTTTATTTTTCTGCTATTGCTTCTCAGACTATATACCCCGAAAGGCAAAATACTGAAAATGTACCTGTCCACGAATTTATCTATATATAAGAATTAAAATGTAAACAGTCAACTTTAATATACAAAATAGAATAGAAAAATGTTAAGGTTTTACCAAAGGTCAACATGCCCAAAAATTTATTTTTACAACAGCTCCAAAACTATGTGAGGTATAAAGTTTAAACTTTTACAGTTTATAAATATATCATTGATTAACAGATAGAAAGTATCACTTAAAAACAAATATTTAAAAACAAATATTTTTTGAGAAAAAACAATTTCAAAAAATTTGCATATTTTAAAAAAATGCACCTGCTTAATTCTGTACTTTTAGTGAAAACCATCATTGAAGAAATAATATATGTTTATCAATGAAGGGCAAGTTGGACGTGAATGGTCTCTGAAAGGCTGTTATTGAAAGCATGTATAAAGACAAGACCCCTATAAAATCCGCCATTTGCAATGTACTTTCGGTTTCAAATCTTAACATTTGGACAAAATAAACAGGGAAAACAACTTTCCAGAGGCTATCGAAGTCCAACTTGCCTTTCATTGATAAACATATATTGTTTCTGCAATGATGGCTTTCACTAAAAGTACGGAATTAATTAGGTGTATTTTTTAAAAATATATGAATTTTTTAAAAAGAATTTTTCTCGATAAATACTTTCTTTAAGTATTTGTTATCAAGTGATACTTTCTATCTGTTAATTAATGATATATTTATAAACTGTAAAAGTTTGAACTTTATAAACCACATGGTTTAGAAGCTATTGTAAATATAAATTTTTGGACACGTTGACCTTTGGCAAAACCTTAAGAAACCATATTTAATCATTGTTTTGTATGAATTATTTTAAATATGTGTACTTTGTTAGGCTAACGTATCAAAATTTAATATGAGAAAATATGTTTCACGGGTCAATCTCAGTCATGTATTAATACTTTTATGGACTCAATCTTCAAAATTTTGCTTTCTTTTTACTAAATAACATCTAAGAAAAAGAATACTGTAAACCAACTTTTATTCGCGTGCGAGAATTATTCGCGACCTACTTAATATCGCGAATATTAATAGCCGCGAACCATATATTTTGCTTTGTATTTAAATAGAATACTTCCTCAGTCGCGAAAATTAATCGTCGCGGATTCATTTCAAACTGACGAATCGCGAATAAAAGATGACGTGAATAATAGTTGGTTTACAGTAACCTAAAAAAATTATATGTTGAAGCATTCCTTTTCATGATATGGGCTCTCAACTAAAGGTACAATATTAAATTTCTCTTCCAAAAGTAAGATATTGCCACATTATACTATAATACAGTTAAAGTTTGAGAGTTAATTAGTATTTACAGAGTTGTACATATTTTAAACAATTATAATACACACTTAATACCTATTATCCTTAAAATAGGTCTTGTTTTACATTAAAAACAAGATGTGTTTGTGAAACACTGATGCCCCCGTATGGCAGCTTATGGCGAAGGTTAAAGTTTCTCAATAGGAAGTCAAACTCCAGGTCAAAAGATAAAAAATGTTGGTACCCAAAGAAAGGTCTTGTCTCAAGGAATATCTTGTGAAATACGAAAGCCCTAGCACCAACTGTTGAAAAATTATGGCGAAGG